TCTCTCTCTCTCTCTCTCTCTCTCTCTCTCTCTCTCTCTCTCTCTCTCTAATCGTAAAGTTGTCTCGCACGAGCAATCATTATACGGCGGTCTGTACGTAAGCCTGTATTTGTAAAACGCCCCAATCACTCGTATGTTTCTTCATGTTCAACATCTTCTAATATGTCCAACTTTGGATTTTCTTCCAGACACTTGTCCAGTGACATTTGTACGATATGCCTCGAATACCCAGACCAAGCGTACTGGGCCTCGTTCATTCACGGTGTAATATTTCTGCTAGATGTGTAGTATACGCCGCTCAGCTAAGCACCAATGTACCTTAAATAATCAATTTGCGTTACCATTCGCGTGATAGTTTGCCAGGCTACAGCTTTTTGTTGCGTCATACTTAGATTCTTATCTAGCGATCGATATTAATGCAGTAGTAACTTAACATTTTGTTTTCCACTGATCGAAAGATTAACTGCTGTTGTCACAGCACGGTCGAAACATTACGCCGTATGCAACGAGGACATGCAAGAACCTACGAGTTTTCCAATGTTTGACTGTATATTGTATTACATTCCCGTCGTCCTGTCCGGATTGTCCAGAGATTCCCATGGGAGGATGTATAGCGTACATTCGTTACGAAAAGTCACCAATTGTACCAGCATAAAAAAAGATGCAATATTCTTAATCGCTAATCACAAAAACGCGAACCTTTCATACATCCTCCGTTAAGAATCTCTTAATTGGACCCTCTTATGGAAAAATAACGAATTAAAAAGTTGAATCTTATTTCGATATCGCGCCGATAAAGGCGATTGATCGCGAGGTAATTTTTTCAAGTATTGCCAGCGGAGTATTTTTCCATAAGTGTGCCACAACTGTACACTCTTTCACACTTGATCAACGTTTCTCTCTCTTTTGCAGCTCACGTCTACTGATGACTATCCGGCGCCGTATGGAAAGCGCGGAACCATGAAAAAAACGATGAAAAAAGGAAAATAATGCTCGAGAAAAGAATCAACAAAAAATATATAGAGAGGAACGTGCACCACGTTCCGAAAGAGTTTTGGCGTCTCTTATCACAGTGCATATCGCCCACGGAGTTTTATGTATTAACATCTCCTGCCACATGTTTTATTGTACTATTCAATCGTGATCTGTCTACGAAATAAAGTAAACACTGCCAAAATTTTACTACATGGCGTTGATTCGTTCGCACCTTCGTCTCGTGTTCAACTCTCTCGATAACCTCGTAATGTCAGCTATAATTAATATAATTTTAATTATTGATGGTTCGCGCACTCCGAATTTTCCACAATTTGAAATGTAAAATATCAGATACAATACACTCGTAATCCCAATATGTACAATATTAAATAAATTACACTTGGTATAATCATTTCTAAGCTAAATGTGGAGCAATGGATCGACAGATTCTTCACAGCAATTCTTTGACACAGGCTCAATAATAATATTATTTGAAAAACTAAAAGATAACAATAACGTTGCGTCTTATCGTCACGATTAACGTAACGTAACATTCACGTATTACGCTATCGTAGCCCTGCATCGCTCACGTCGACTTTCCGCTCGAGGAGCGCGCGAATGGAAGAAAATGGAAGCAGTGACGACAACAGGCTTGTACAACAATATGCATGTTTATTATCTGAAAGTTTTACATCTTTAGGACGCCATTGCATGACGCATTCCGTCGCGATTCGAACGATATAACAACCCACGATAGTCGAACAAACTTCTCGCTGCGAGAGCACGTGTGTCTCGCTTGTATTACTTATTTTAATAAAGCATCGTCGAATCGCGACCAGCCAACCCTTTACAAATATAATATCTGTATATAATATATGAATCTCTCGGACAAAACGCATATCACGAGGGATCACAACCGCTCCTTTGACAATTAATCTCAGTTTTTTTTTTGTTTTTTTTTTTCCTTTTCGTTCTTTTCCTTTTGGAGAGGCGAGGGAGCGCGGAGGATAAAGAAGTTGGAAGGGACACGGCCGTTTTGTCTCGACATGTCTCACCAAACGCAATACTTTACACCGCGTCTCTCTTTCTCACGTGTCGTCTCGGTGAGAATACCTTGAACAATAAATCACTGATCTCGCCGATCGCCGTCAACATCTGATAATTATTAAACAACAATCAAATAATGAGTAACAACGTAATACCAATAGTGTCTCGTTAGTTTGTAAACGGTTCGTCGTGCATAATTGATCTCGGGGCCGAACTGAGTGAATTTGGTTTGCGATACGCATCTCTCTTGTGTTTTCAGACTATATTCTCGAACACAGCGATTCGCATGCCATGCGATCTCGATAATCGATCGGCCTCCGCTCATATCGACGGACTCGCGCTTGGATCGACGCCCCATTCATGCGTCCCGGTGCGCAACACACACTGACTTATATTCATGGACGTACCGTCGCGATAGCACAAATATTAAATCTCTAGAAGTCACAATTGCACATTACTACGAGAAAAATATCTTCGGTATGAATACAACCTTTTGGACATTATTATCGCGATCGATATCGCTTATCTGCTGTGCTGAGAATTGTATTCCTCTTCTTTATTCCTTTCAATTCTTGCTCTGATAAATGTTGCGCGTGCACGATCTTACAATGCTGCCGAATATGTTCCGACAATATTCGACGATTCATGTGCACCAATGCACGCCGCCCCTACGATCAGACTACTGTCGCGCAAACAATCGCAAGCAATGATACTGCGCCGATACAGCGAACGAAAGCGCGGCTGGGATACCATTGAAGCGTGATTACTAACACAGTCTACGAAATAATCATGAGATACAAATGATCATGTAGGAACGAAAGAGAACGATGCGTCACGATAAATATGCGTTATATGCATTTTAAATAAATGCATTGAATTATCTAAATGCAATTTGTCGTCATTCTACTCGAAGTAAACAAGTCTCGATCCTAGCATTTGAATATCGTACACTGAATGCGGGTAAGTGTGAATATATAATATATATACACATTGTAAGAAATGCAGAATTTTCACTGAAATTGAAAGCACGGTCTGCCTGGCGAGAAACATTCACTGCGATGTTCATTGCTAGGACTGTGTAAAATGATACTCGATTCTGAAACCAGTTAGTAAAATTGAGTACAAGTAATACACATATAACTGTAACAAATGTCCAGAGAATCATTAAGCGGGGCCCAAACGATTTCAAAGTTGGTTATTCAATGTAACGCAATGTTACTTGTATCGAATTTAGAAATCGGATTCAGAAACAAATACCATTTCGTACTAGCTCGTACAGTCCTAGTTCACGCGATCATCATTGCGACGAAACAAATTTTGCTACGAGCCGAATGATAATACACGATATATTTCACGTTCAGCGCAAGCATGAAAAATGCGATTGAGATTCTTCCTTTAAACACATTTCTTTCTTTTTCTTTTCTCTGTGACTACAATGTGCCACATTTTCATTTCTCTCCTTTGATCCCCCTTCTAACTATCCTTCGAACAAAGGTAAAATCATACGCGTCATCTTAAAAATACTGATTTCTCTCTGTATTTCATTGGATTCGTCGCGTGAGAATAAACAATCTAATTCATCTACGATATATCTCGGAACGTGCAGTCACTACCGCGCTCGGTATACCGCACACGATGAAAATAGAATGAAACTTGTATGAGTAATGCTCTCTGAGAGAAAGGATAAATGGACAAAAATATATATGTATGTATGTATGTATGTATGTATGCGTGTGTGTGTGTGTGTGTGTATATATATATCTATGTACACGCGCAACATCTCTCATAAAACGATGAAACTTAAAATTAGCTGCTCAAGCAGTGCTAAAAGTAATATTAAAAATAAAAAAAATATTAATATTAACATATATATATATATATATATATATATATATATATATATATATATATGAATTGATATTAAAAGTATAATATTAATGCATATATATTAATAATAATAGTAATAATAACAGCGAGTCTCATAATTACACTCAACATCAACAGTGAAGCAATAAATACAAATGAGAATGACAAAATGCTTTTTAAAGAGGGTTAACTTTCGCAAAGGGTTACTCCGTTAATGGTAGATATCACCAAGTAAATTTAGCGAGAGCAGGAGCGAGCCTTTGCAAAGTCAGATGAAAAGTAAACGTTAACCGTGAGTCGTTTATATCTCTCATTTCGTTAATTAAGGAAAGAGGTAAATCTTATACACTTTAGCTTTACATTTATCAGATTAGGTTAATTCTGTATCTCGACGTCTTCGTGCTGAAACACATGAAAACCAAAGACGAGATCAGATCATGGCGAATGTCATCGAAGCGCTTCCGCTACGAAACACTATGGTTAAAAGCCTTTGCAAGTCACGTGTCAGTACGTGAATCCATTAGCGTATCTTCGCCCCGTAAATCGCATTCGAATCGTCCGGAGTGCGTCGTCGTAACACGTGTGCGCACACACGTTGGAAACATTGCGTGCTAAATATAAATATCTAAATCATCGGCGAATCATTGCATAAACCTAAATACATTGAGTAATGTTCTACATTTCATTTCCATTTCGCTCTTCCGCCTTTCTCGGTTCCGTTTTCATATTTTTCTTTTTTTTTTTTTGTCTTTTTTTTGCTATACTTTTTCTGGCTTTTTCGCTCAACTGATGATCATGGGAAATAGATTTGTAACTATGCACGTAAATGGTATCGCTAGTGTAGATTAAGTAAGCTTCGACAAGCATAAAGCAGATTTACCTAGCATGATAGCCTCCATTAAGGATAATCGCGTTTGTTGCTGTGCAGGATCGGTAGAAGGCTGTCATTTCTTTTTCGCTGGATTCCTCTGTGGCGTAGATGGTCTACCGGTTTGACCCGTATTCATTCCTCCATACTGATACTTGGCTTTCTTCTCCGATGGTTTCAAGATCTGTGGGAAAACACGGACGACGCTTCGTGAATTGAACGTTGCGTCAACAACGAGTCAAATGAGAACTGTTTCTCGAGGAAAAGTCGATCACCTGAAAACTGCACATTAGTGTTTCGTCAACGCTCATCATGCCGCCGGCGTTATCGAATTCTCCGCAATAATTGGGCGCGGAAAACAACGTGACCAGTTGACGCTTGGCGAAAAACTCATAGCCGTCCTCGACCACCTGATGCGCTCTGCATATCAAATCCATATCGTGACGATTCAGGAACTTGGACACGACGTCCGGACCAAACGTGAACGAGACACCTCTGTCATTTTCGCCCCAACCCTAAAATAACGTCGTCGCAAATACAGGTGGCGTTCTCGCGGGTTGCGCTGCACAAAAAGAGACGCCCCTCACCTGAACATCCTTGTCGGGATCGGACCACAAAAGATCACAGAGGAGACCGGTATCAGGTACATCAGTTGGACGCATAATTCTTCGTATCTGCTCCATTCCCTGAAACAAACGGAATATCAGTGCGTTCATTGGTCTCGAATGAAACAACAGGCTGAAACAGCTGCTAATCACCTGCAAGTCGGGACTGAGGCCGCCGTGGCAGCAAAATATCTTCTCGTCGATGATCGCGGCGATCGGCAAGCAGTTGAAGCAATCCGTGAAGGTCTTCCAGAGCTTGATGTTGTATCTTCGCTTGCACTCGTCGTAAAAGCCGTATATCCTGTTTATGCTGGCGCACTCGTGATTGCCGCGCAGCAGGAAGAAGTTCTCCGGATACTTGATCTTGTACGCCAACAGCAGGCATATCGTTTCCAGGGACTGCTTGCCCCGGTCGACGTAGTCGCCCAGGAACAAGTAATTTGCCTCGGGTGGGAAACCGCCGTACTCGAAGAGCCGCAGCAGATCGGTGTACTGGCCGTGTATGTCGCCGCAGATCTTAAGCGGCGCCTCCAGCTCGAGCAGGATCGGCTGCTGCAGGAAAATCTCCCGAGACTTGAGACAGAGGCCACGCACCTCGGCCTCTGTCATGGTGACGGTCTTGCCCGGTCGACATCCTCTGACTGCGCCACAGAAATGCCGACGGTTAATCACGTCAAGTTGCAACAACACACCGGCTCGGCCCTTCGTCGGCGCGGTGAATCGCGATCTCTCTACTCGACAAAGAGAAACCGACTCCCGCAAACTCCCGATATGTATTTATAGCCGGTACGATCTTTACGATCTCCGCTCAAATGTACTTTATGTGTGAGTGAGAATCTATCTTTGTAACGCGAGTACGTCCATCTCTATCTACGGAAGAAATCGATAATGCCATTATTAGGTATAATTAGCATAACCTGCGCCGCGCAATAACTCGTACGTACTCTTCTGGAACTCACTTCTGGAATTATTCTCGAACGCGTCAATAAATAAATAAATAAATAAATAAATAAATAAATATAAATATATATATATATATATATATATATATATATATATATATATCTCAATTGTCTTGTCAATTTCCCTCGCGAACGTTACACGCGATTACGCAATCCTTGAACTCCACGCGTTGGCGGGAGGAATTGGCGGAGAAACGTGACCGTCGTGTGGTGTTTTTGCCGGTGCAACGAGTCGTTAAGCGTCGCGGTATCGCTAACAAACACAACGCTAATGACGCGTTTTCCCTTACTGTCCACCGCGCTGACGAGGGACCTTCGTCGCGGACTTCTTGTCGTAGGTACATCGAGCATAACTCTACTTTGGGGCATGGAAGATGATTAAGTCTGCCGGTATTAGCTGTCTCAATAAACAGGGGTGACACGATTACGGTATTACAGATTACGGTGAGCCATCATCTTTGCCTATTCTCGAGCACTTTGCACATGGGTACAGTCACGGTACTTCCGGCGGTGTCTACGGTGGTATATCGCATCGACTATAGCGTTAAAGGCGTGAAAAAATTATTGATAAGCTCGTTGGAGAAAGGTTGGACAATTTTTTAGGGAGTACGAATTTCTCCTCAAGAGAATAAGAGAGTTCGAGAGAGGAAGGGAGAGAGAGAGAGAGAGAGAGAGAGATAGATATGTATAGATGTAGATGGATAGGGAATTACTTTTGATGAGTTGTACGACAACACGTTCTAGAAAATCTCTAGAAAATCTAGAGTGTTACTTGAGACTATTACTCAACTATAAATCCGGAATCGTAGCCACATCGTAGCGTGGTTACGATTTTACGTATAACATTCTGGATAACTCGACATTTCTCGAATTTTTCAATCGTATAGAGCAACGCGGAATACATCTTGATGAAAAAAAGAGAAAAAAACAAGCAATCACATGATTACAGAGCGACAATTTAGCGGGACCAGCGGAAATTGATTGAAGCTCTTGATCTCGTGTTATCGTCAATTCTAATTCTTGTTCTTTGTTTTTCCTTTCTGCCGTTTCCTTCCGAGGGGTATTTTCCGAGGCAGACGTCACGCGACATCCAAAGCGTTAATAAGCGGCGCACGGAGGCAGAGGGAATAAGCGATTCAACGACATCCAGTGTAGATCGTCTCTCTTTATGACGCCACAGATATGCCGTCGAACTGTTATTTATAGGCATATAAAGGGAATATTCACGGTGCGGCTGAACTGGGCCGATACTGGTTATTGGAAAACTGCATATTAGCAAGGTCACGGCGACCATAGAGCAGAGATGCAGACTCCACCATCCGGTAGGAGCTATTGTCACCTTGCTGTGGACGAGGGCTGTTTCAGGCGAAACACTGCAAATGTCACTCGGTATCGCGGCATCATCGAGTTCAAAATGGGCTCATCGGAGTAAAAACAAACTTTGGAGGTATAAAACAGCTCCCGACGGTGAGAGCGGTTCGTCGCGTACATATTGCATCATCGCATATTACAGCATCGTGTCAATATAATTCACAAATGTATGCATTATATGCAAAAGTACGATCCGCAGTTAATAAAATCATGTGTGTGCATATATAAATAAATAAATTATTAGATTTACACACATCCTAATTTCGATTACGTAAACTGATATATTGGGTTAATTGTGAGAGGTCGATATTCGGATTCGATATAATTATCTCTCACGCGAATGAACTCTTGAAATATTTAGCGAAAGTATTTCTATCGTTCGTAGCTTTTCTCTATGGTTGAAATTAAACTCGCTCGATCCAAGATCCCAAGATAATACGACGCACGTACATGATATCCGATAATTAATTAAAACCGCTCGTCATATAAATTGCTTCTAACCTACAAAGTGTGAAAGAAAATGATAAATCTGAAATAACTTGTCCCTGAAGAGGTTAAAAATAATCAGTAAGGTCTTGTCGGCGAGATGTTTCTGGACCTTACGGACCTTACGTTCGCTTCAGGGACATACGACAAACGTACTCGTAAATTTTCAGCGTAGCGAACGCATCGTCAGTTGCGCGTCCTCCACGTGATAATTTCGCAATTTCGGCCGCCCTAATAATAATGTATCCAAGTCAGCAAACCGACGAAACTCACGCCATGTTCCACTTTTATACCCACGCATGCGCCTAAGATCAATCTCTGGATGGAAGAGTAGAAATTTAAAATAAATCGACCCTGAAGAAGTTAAAAATAATTTGTTCTCTCGCGCAGCGCGCTGAACTTCAGTTTTATTACGCGTTAATGGTGATTAATGCTCAAGGACGTGATCCTTTGGCACGTTATTTTGCGAGAGAAATCAACAATTAATAACAACTAGTCTAAAAATGTCAAAAACGTCTTTAGCTAAACATTTATGTTGCTCACTTATCCAGTTGTTACTTAAAATATGCAAAAGTAACAAAATAAAAATTGCATATTTAATTGCGATCCGAAACGTTTCTTTGCTTCAGAAAATATAATTTTTCCGGAATATAAAAAAAGAAAGAGGAAAGAGGAGAAAGAAAGGATTTTATATTTGAAAAACAATAAAGAGGATGTATCGCGAGGATATAATTAAAGCATACGCATATTACTGATCAACTGCGTAAACACATCCATAATATGCTAATCTATCTAATAAGCGTGCGCTAAACTAACATTTAGGCTAACATCTTCAGCTAACGTTGTCCGACAAACTCTACAATTTTTACGTAGCGGAAAGTTTCAATTGGGAGAGTCGAGTACACGAAGAGGTGAGGAAAATGGTAAGATTTAAGAGCCGGAAAGGTGCGTCGAAACAGATTCGGAGATAACTTGGGAAACGTTTTGAAAGCATCCGCGTGGATATACTCGTATCTCAAATAATAAATATGCGACTTTGGAGTAGGCGTGTGTGTGTGTGTGTGTGTGTGTGTGTGTGTGTATGTGTGTGTGTGTGTGTATGTGTGTGGTCATCTTCGTGCCTTTAAATCCACACTACGAGACTCGACAAGATCGACGACCGAGTGAGCGAGCGAAGGAGACATAGATAGCTAGAAATAGAGGAGAGAGAGAGAATCACACTTACATGCAGGACACGGCTCTACTTGTGAGAAGCAGAGAAGAAAAAAAAAGGGATAAAAAGAAAGAGTTGGACACGAGTGAGAGCGACACATCGAGAGAGGCAATGGCCCGTATTCGCGGCGCGCATTTAGCGCTAAATGTGACTGAGAATATCGTCCCGCAAAGCTTTACATGTGACACGCGTCAAAAAGAATTAATCTTCGCGATCGAAATTCCAATTAACCGTGATGATTTCGACTAAATAGCGTGAGGTAAAAGTACCGATTCCCACGTATACGTACTGAATCCTGGACATTTGTATTGTTTTGGACTCTCTCTCTCTCTCTCTCTCTCTCTCTCTCTCTCTGAATAGAAATATTTAAACTTTCGATATAAAATATATATTCAATATGTGTATATATATTTTGTCATTTCAGAAGTTTAAATATTTAAAGACCAAAACTATAAAAATGTCCAGCATTAAGTGCGTGTCCGGGAATTGGTATTTTTATCTTACTCCGTCGGCAATTTTTGCAATTGAAAGAGAGAAGAAAGGGAAGGAGAAAGCGGTATTGTATGTGTCCTTAAAGGGACAGATGTTCATAAGAGAAGAGAAGAAAGGAGAGGAGAGAATCGTTGAAGCTACGTGTGATCGAGCCACTTTGAGCGATGCGTCAAACTTGAAACGCGATGCTTAATGCCGATGCAAAGGTGCACGGCAGCGATAACGCTCATGTTCGTCGCGATTACCTAACATTCGTCTCGCAGCTCGCTACAAACGCACCAAATGCGATCTTTGCACTTACACGGTTAGGTTAGGTTAGGTTTAGAACTAAACGCATTGCTAAATGTGCGCGTGAATGCAGGCCATGGAACGATAACGAAATATAAATGTGGCGCAGCTAAGTGAACACAAAAAGGATAGCTCTACATGGGGAAAAGAGAGTTTTCTGTTGTTGTGATGACATGGCGGTGGTTGTGGTGTGGTGGTTGTTATTATTGTTATGTTGTGTTGTTGCTATTGCGTACCGACAAAGTCCGACGAGAAAATATCTTTTAGCTTGGCTTTCTTCTGAACCTGGTCTTTCTGCGTGTGGTATACTTTACCGCACAAGGGAGTTCCGCATTCGCGTAGCATGAGAGAGAGAACAAACAAAAAGAGAGAGATTGTTTTTTTTCCTTCTGCGCCTCAAAAGAACGAGGATGAAAGATCGCGATTGTGGTGGTCAGTAGGTAGGGGAGGGGGGATAGTGATTGAGGAGAGAAGGTTCTTTAAGTCGTGACAGAAAGACGAAGATACGCTGACAGGTGTACCGAGAGAGAAAGAGAGGTCTGCGTGTGGTAAGAAAGAGAGAGAGAGAAAGAGAGAGAACGACCGTGAGCGAGACAGCGAAATAGAAAGAGACAAAACGAGAGAAATAGCGAGATTGAGAAAGATAGAGACCATTAGACGTAGCGGAACTCGGAGCGAAAGAGACGACGTCTCTTCAACTTTTCGCACAATTCGTGCGTTGCAATTACGACGGTGATAACAACGAGCGCAACGGGCGCACGAGCGAGATCGATATCTTTCCTGCGTTTTTTAATCCGGTCGTCGGGGAAATCGCGCAGAGCGACACGACACGACGCGATACGACGCAACGCGTCGCGGTACAACGCGACAGAGGAACGCGACGTACGTTCCAAGCACTGCGTAGTCACGTAAAATTTACCGAGGCCGCGTCGCGCGGCTCGTTCCTACAGGGACGATCGGGAAAACCGTAGCGAATGAGAGCACAAATAAACGTACTCACACGAGTATGTACACACGACACGGGTGCGAGATATCGCGCGACGCGTTCACGGACGACGTAGTCTGTTCGTGCGATCGTCGATACGTTCTCGCAGGACGCACGCTCCGCAGAATTCCCGATGGGAAACGCACAATGTGCCTGTTTTTCGTAACGACCAATCCTGTAGTAATCACGTACCTTCCAGTAATCTCTGTATCAAGTTGTCGATATTCAAGTCGACATCCGCCATTTTTTCCTGCCACTGACCGACTGGCCCGATGTTCGCGGACTGGCTGGTGCGTAGCGCGCGCATTTGCACGACTGTAGCGACGCGACACGGGCGCGCTACAACAGCTCGCTCGAGTACATGTGTCCTCTGTCGGTTTTATCGACCGGCCGCTTAGTCCCAAAGTAAATAGCGAGTAAATTTGCAGAGGGTGCATCGTGCTTGTTTTCCGATTGTTTATCAATAAATGGTTCTACGCAGGATATCTTGAATTATTTGGACATACTTCTCAATTGCTCCCGATATTTTACTTTCAACAAACGTTAAATGCAATTGATATATATAAATCTCTCTTTAATTATGGTAATTACAATTACGCACTAATTTGTCTATGCTAATATAACATATTATTTGTTTAAAATGACGAAGCTTAACGAGGATTAGCGTTCTCGCGCTTATATATATATTTCTAATTTTAATCACCATATAAAATATTATAAAGGAAAATTCAGCAGAGTTTTGTTAACAATTCTAATGAATAGAGATTTGCAATGTTTTTTTAACGGATTTAACCATATTTTCGGTGATAATCTGGTGGCGGGTCTGTGTAATCCTGCTGAAGGTTGAAAAGTTCAGTGTCATTCTTCTGCAAATATTGTAAAAATTCATGAAAATGTGTTAGCAGCAATTGAATACTTCTTTCGTCCAAAGGTGTGTACGACAGCATACCACCGAGTCTTACTGCAAAAAATCAAACAAAAATGACCTAAATAAAAGCTGTACTGATAAACAATAAAAGATGACTGGAGAGAGAGGAGGGAGAGAGAAAGAGAGAGAGGGGGAGAGAGAAAGAGAGAGAGGGGGGAGAGAGAAAGAGAGAGAGTTTACTTACCAAATAGTCTGAGTAAATGAAATGCACCATACAGTTGACTTGGTTGCGTTTCCGGATTGTCGTTCATTATCTGTATAAATTGCGGCCGTTCCCACTTATACAAAAGTTGAAGGCCCAACGTAGCATTAAAGTATTCGCGAATACCTTTCGTTATTTCTAGTGTACTTTCTCTAAAATTCAAATACAAGAATTGAATATATTTTCATTAAATGTGAATTATAATAATATAATAAGACTATGAACTTATATTCGTACTTTATATCATTTGTTTTTCCCAATGACTTTGCTTCGACATAATCATCCAAGATCTTATCGACTGTATTCTTTACAGGTAATGCTGGTAGTTTATGGTGCTTCAATATCACTTCAGATTCATCAATTAGAACAAATTTCAATTCTTCAGGTAACTTAATCTTAACTTCCACCTTAGTCAGATACTCTTCAGTTTCACCAGATGGTTCTAGTCGACTAAAAAATAATTATTTTTATAAAGTGTGCCCACAATATACAATCAATATATGGCAACAAGTACTATGTGACAAACCTTCGTTTTTTACGTGTAGGTTCAGATGGAGAATCATGAGATGATGAGGGTGTCGCTGTGTTGCTTGAGCCTTTGCTGAAGCGACTTATGCTCTTGTCAGTTGTTGCTACAGGTGTACTTGCCCTACTGTCTGTATCTTTCTCTCTAATCCCTTCACTTCGCCTTCCCTGTGTCTTGGTTGTTGTGCTGCCCTTTTTATTTTTCTGTGTAGATTGCTGATTTGAATGAGCTCTCTGGACTTCTCGTTGTCTTTGTACATTAGCCTCATTGTACTTGAGAACTCTACTCTCTGGTACCCATTCATCCCAGCTATTTTTATGAAAACATATTGTTTAGTATAAACTTTAATTTTATTAGTTTAACACAGAAGCATAATATAATTTAGTTTACACTGTAATTAAATTTTGTTTTCAACCAATAAAGTCACGAGAAAGTAAATATTCAAGATTATAGCTGTAAATAGCCTACTATTTATATGCAACTAAAGTAGCACATATATCTGTGAGAAAGAAAGCTTACTTTTTATTCCAGCCAGCATAGTGGATAAAATATTTGATTTGCTTTTCCTTAGTAATAGAGGACTTCAAACACTTTGCTTCATAAATCAACGGCCCATGGAAACATAGTACTTTTTCACCTACAAATATACAAATTGTATTTGTAATTCAACATATATGCAATTAATAGAATTTTATAAAATAAGTTAAAAGAAAATGATTAAAGCTCATTCGTATTTATAATTCACTCTTATAACATAATTCAAGTCTTCCTGTTTAGAGTTGTCAAGGAATATACCTTCTTGAAATTTACACTTTGGTGGCATTGTCTTGAGTACTGTAAAATATAAATACTGCAAACTGTTGTAATTATTCTATATTCTTGTAAATTATGACGTTGCTGATTAAATAGACAGTTCTCATACAACTACTAACGAAATATATTCACTTCTAACCATCGTGTGACTCTGATACTTCTCCCATGCCGACGCCGTACATAAATGCTACGCTTTGGATGTGTTCGGGGAACGCTACCGCGTTCTTCTATTCTCGCTCCTTAAGTCCGTGTCACACTACGAACTGGAAATTGAGGATTGCGGATTGAAGATTATAGCGTTTTTCACTGACAGAATTGGTGCGCACTAAGGCTTGTTTACAGTATGTTATTATATTGAAAGATTGTCTTAAATAAATTCTCAAATATTTTTAACCAGTAATATAATATATATAACATCCGTACGAATTATTTTATTACCTAAAATATTTTTAAATATGTATTTAAGACACGATCTTAAATATGAAAATGTATTGTAAACAAGCCTTAGTGCGCACTCAGTGAGCACCAGTTCTGCCAATGAAAAACGCTATTAGATCTCGACGAATCAATGCACTTTGGTCTTGGTCCTCTTGGCTCCAATTGGTCAAATTCCAATCTTCAATCCGCAATCCTCTATCTCCAATCCGTAGTGTGCACAGATGTCTATTGTCACGTCCGACCGACCAGACTGCCAACCAGTGATAATTTTTTGTCCAAATAATCCTTTACCTGAGACACTCCAGTGCTGGGATTCTGTATCTCGTTATTGGAATTAACGACACTACGGTATACAAAAGCTGCGCAACGATAACGAAACTGTCGTTAACTCCAATAACGAGTTACAGAATCCCAGCACAGGTACGAAACCTTTCTTTCCCAAAAAGAAGGCATCACTACCATTCAGACCCTTTCCTAAAGGCGGGATCACAAAAGCTCAGCAGCAGTAGAGTAGTGACCGGCGTAGCAGTCAGTCAGAGTCGGGTGCCGGGATCGGAAATCCAAAGATAGTCCTCATTTCCAAATCTCATTTCTCTAATTCACTAATTCTAAAGCTTAGTTCCCTCTAATTCTTAAGCAATTAACTTTAGGTTATCTTTAACATTCTTAAACATTTACGAGCGTTTTATTCTAATGCATAATTCTTTAGTTTGTTAAACAGTTCATTTTAATTATTTCGTCACTTCCGTTACTCTAGCCATACTTAAAATACTTTGTGAGCATATTATATATCAAGAATTATACAATACACATTATATATATATATATATATATATATATATATATATATATATATATAT